TGCGGAGAGAGACCTAGCCATGTTGGATTAGACCCGGTACAATGAAGTCGATATTGTCCACTTAACTTTTAAATTTGCTGTCCACTTAACCTTGTAGTCTTGCTTTGAAATGCAAATTATTAAAAAAAAAAAAAAAACTGCATCGGCAAAACATAAAAACTCAAAACAGAAAACAACTAGCGATAGAGATGTAGGAAAATAAAATTAGAGGACCATATTCAACGCCTCCAGGCGTATAGGGCATATAGGGTAAGACCTCTATTTTTTTTAGACCACTCGGCATTCGGTGGGTGGTAGGGTCAACATCATGCTGACCGCTTTTACTTTCCAGGATTTTACCTGGTACCCATGCTAGGTCGACCTGGGAGCCAAGGTCATTATAAAAAAAGTCATGTTCCCTCCGGATCTGAACCAAAGACCTTCTGATCCGCAGACGAGCGCCTATACACTACACCACTGTGGCTCCAAAATAAGACTTAAAAGGTCAGCAATATCATAAAGTCGCAATCGTTAGTATATTTTTGTTATGTTCCGTCCCGTGCAAATTAACTACAGTACTCCGAATATGTACCATAATTGTGTCAGTCTGTAAGAGGGCTCATTCCTTCCCCTTCTCTTTCATTTGTATATCCCCCCCCACCCCACAGCTATTAGAAAAAAAAAAGCAAACTGGGGTTCTTTCACAGGTCTCGCAGATAGTGCTTTCAACAAAATAACAAAGAAAACAGCTCTAACTGAAAATTTTCAACAAATGAATCCTTAATGCAGCAGAAGTATGTATCTCCACAGGCAGACGTGGGGAATATCAACCCTACTGGTCCTCGAGAAATGAACTGACTGTCCCCGTGAGGGTCCCGGGACCTCATTGTTATACAACAAGAAGAAACTCACTGCCTCAACCAAAAGCAAGTCGTAAGAGTCGACTAATTGGATGCCTCCTTTGAAGTCGGAGTGCATCTGCCTGAGGGACAAGGAACCAACAGTGTGCATACATATAAGTGAGAATTGATCTAACGGTTGTACACGTAGCACTCAGGTTATAGGACAAGACTAAAGGCGAACAAATACCCCTCTCCCCTCCCCCCTGAAATTTACAGCTCATGAACACGAAGCAACTCATCTAATAACAAACTATAATGTCCTAGGGACCTTCAGCCAGATCTAGCTCACGGGCCTTGTTCCTTCCATCTGGAATTCATTCATTCAGCACGTGCTAAAACATATAAAGGACAAGAGCGACCTGAAAAACTGCTCATTCGTGTCTACTGAGCTGTGTTGGCAAACTGATGGAGAAACTAGTCAACAGAAGACTTGTGTGGCTCCTTGAAACCAGTGAATTGCTCTCTCCAACACAGGCAGGATACAGGCAGCACAGAAGGGATGAGAATAAATTGGCTACTATTACACACGACATTAAGAAGGCATTCCAAGAGAAAAAGAGAGTTATTGCCGTCTTCGGTGACCTTTCACATATTTTCACAACTGTAGAAGATAGGGCTAATGCTGAAAATTATACAAATAGAAGTCACCCACTCACAACATGTACTCTTGTATAAGATACTTCCTGTACCAACGATAAGCTAGAGCCACTTCAGCAAATCGGCAAAATTGAACACAAAAGACGTACCTCAGGGCAATGTAATAGCACCAACTCTCTTCCTGGTCTACATTAAGGGTCACTACACGGCATTTTTCCGAATTTATGACAAAAATATCACTTTTTCAATGTGTTCGTTTTTGTAAAGTTCGGCATACGTAGAATAGATGACACACAAAATTTATGTCATTTGTAAACAATTTAGCATTGAAAAGTTAATACTAACGACACCACCTCGTGCATATTTTTAAGATAAAAAAAGTTTAAAAGTCAGTTTTATCAAATCTCTATATTTCAGTTTGCTGTGTGTGTGAAATCCTAAAATCTAAGCTAATATAAAGAGTAGAAACATGAAATTTTGTATGCATACTCCATAAACAATATTATAGGGACTGGTATATCTAAAAGTAGATTTTAGAAAGTTTTTGTTTCTTAAATTTGATTATCGTCTTATGATGCTTGATTTTTTTGACTTTTTTAAATAAACCTACATTTTAAAATTCTACGAAAAATATTTAAAAACATGTTTTAAGTAAATAATCTAGACCTGTACCTCTAAATAAAATAAAGGGTTACGGATCCATCATCTATTGTTGAATACCTATGTTTGTTTTTAAAATTTTAGGATTTTAAGTACATATTGTTTTTTTACAAGATGGCGGCTATTGCTATGACAACTATGATTTTTTAACACTTCAAGTATACAAATGTAATAACATGTATCCCTACAAACGACCATTATAATATAACTGCTCTAAGTCTGTAAATAAAAAAATAAATTTTTTTGGTGTAGTGACCCCTTAATAACGTTGTTAGGTGTTGTTACCGGCACGTCTTTATCAACCTTGTATGTGTATATGTGGGGGTGTGGCTGCGTGTCTGTCTGTGTGTATCTATGTTGTGTCTGTAGGTGTTTCTGCGTGTGTGTCTGTGGCTGTGTGTTTCTCTGTGTGTTGCTTCGTGTGTATTTGTGTGTCCGCCTTTTAGATAATGTGTGCGTGTGTGTGCGTCTGTGTGTGTGTGTCTGTGCGAGTATTTGTGCGTCTGTGGGTGTGTTAGTATGTGTGTATATGTCTCTGTGTGTCAGTGTGTGTGTGCCATTGTGTGTTTGTAGGTGTGTCTGTGTGTGTGGCTGCATGTATATTTGTGTCTGTCTGTGGCTGTGCGTGTCTGTGCGTATGGCTTTGTGTGTGAGTCTCTATGGGTATGTCTATTATATAATGTATGCGTGTGTCTGTGTGTGTGTGGCTTCGTGGTTATCTATATGTGTGTCTTTTTGATAATGTGTGTGCGTCTGCGCGTGTATGTCTGTGTGTGCATCTGTGAGTGTATTCGTATGTATGTATGTATGTATGTATGTATGTATGTATGTATGTATGTATGTATGTATGTATGTATGTATGTATGTATGTATGTATGTATGTATGTATGTATGTATGTATGTATGTATGTATGTATGTATGTATGTATGTATGTATGTATGTATGTATGTATGTATGTATGTATGTATGTATGTATGTGTGTGTGTGTGTGTGTGTGTGTGTGTGTGTGTGTGTGTATGTATGTATGTATGTATGTATATCTGTGAGTGTATTTGTATGTATGTATGTACGTATGTATGTATGTATGTATGTATGTATGTATGTATGTATGTTTGTATGTATGTATGTATGTATGTATGTATGTATGTATGTATGTATGTATGTATGTATGTATGTATGTATGTATGTATGTATGTATGTATGTATGTATGTATGTATGTATGTATGTATGTATGTATGTATGTATGTATGTATGTATGTATGTATGTATGTATGTATGTATGTATGTATGTATGTGTGTGTGTGTAGGTGCTATTGTGTGTCTGTGTGTGTGTGTGGCTGTGTGTGTATCTGTGTCTGCTTGTGGCTGTGAGTGTCTGTGTGTGTGGCTTTGTGTGTATCTCTATCGTTGTGTCTATTATATATTGTCTGCGTGTCTCTGTTTGTGTCAGTTTAAGCGTCTGCGTGTATGTGTCTGTGTGAGTGTTGCGTATGTCTATGCGTGTTTCCCTGCCTGCGTGTATGTGTTTGTGGTGTGCCTGTGACTGCATGTGTGTGTGTCTGTGTGGGTTTATGTCTGTGTGCGCCGGTGTGTGTGTTTATATGGGTCTTTTTGTGCGGCTACGTGTGTGTATGTATGTCTGTGTGGGTTTTACGTTTGTGTGCGTTGGTGTGTGTGTGTGTGTGTTTGTATGGGTCTTTTTGTCCGGCTACGTTTGTGTATGTATGTGTTTGTATGTATATCTGTGTTTGTATGTGTCTGGGTTGTATGCGAGTGTGTTTTAGAGCGTGTGGCTGTGTGTATGAGTGTGTGTGTGTGTATATGTATGTATGTGTGTGTGCGTGTTCGTATGTATGTGTCTATTATGTGCCTATGTGTGTAAGTGAGTGAATGGGTTTGCGTGTGTATGTGGGTGTGTGTGTTCTTGCGCGAGCGTGCGCACATATTTTACCACCCATGCTTTTGTTTTTGACTTGATATTCATAATATGCATATTATTACATGAACATAGCATGCTTTATTGATGAGATACAATTGCTGTGTGAAAGATGGGAGTTTGGAAGGGCCGAATGTAAGACAGGCCTGCGTGCCTAATTTGTAACCCTTTGAAAATAAAGTTCACTCGTTCGTTTGTACATGCATTGTTTGGAAGGCCATGGAAAACTCCTCAACAGCGTCCTACCTACCTACAAAAAAGGCAGAGAAAGTAGAGAAATTGGACAAAGAATTAGGGTCTAAACTAAAAAACTAAATAAAACACCCCAAACCACAGCAAGTTTTCTCTCTGTTCGCCTTTGCGAGCGCGTGCGCGCGCGCACACACGATTATTTATAATGCTAGAAAATAAATTATTACATCAGACAGGTAAGTTTTTTGTTGTTCTCGATATCAGACTCACCTGGAATCCAGACATGGACAGTTAAAAAAAAAAAAAAAATTCAAACCTCAAGCCACAGAGAGACTTGCTGAAACAGAAAAGTTTGCTGCAACATCCTGGGGAGCCAATTAAAAACACTAAGACAGGTCTATACTGGAGTGGTTTAAGTCCATTTTGGAATATGGCTTAAATTCCTGGCTGCAGCAAAAAAGGGAATTTAGGAAAGTTAGACCTGGTCTAAAGTTCGTGATTATGAATAACAATCTGAGTAGTTAGAAGCACACCCATAAAAGAAATATAGAAAATTGCTAACTTGGAACTGCTTGGACAGTAGACAGTGCAAAAAATACCACTTAGTCTTAACAGATCAAGAGACTTCCAAACCATGCGCTGTACCAACAGGCAGGCAGTTCAGTCAATGTCCAAGTTCCGAATTTCACCGCAGAGACGGCAATCTGTGGGCGTTACGACTCTAGCATCAAGATGGCTGCTTACATTCTGGCACTGCTGCTTCTCTCTACTTACACTTTGTTGACACGTGTTCACTTTGCCTGTGGGGACGATGATCACGGCAACATCGCTCCCAGCTATGATTCGGATGCCTTCACAAGTTCACTTAAACAACAAAGGCATTTCGTCATGTTCTACGCCCCATGGTAATTGTTTACCCCCTCATTCCCATCCTCAGGCATGCATCCTGTGGCACCAAGTTTGTCGGTCGTAGAACTGATTTTTTTTGTTGTTGCTTCGTCAAAGACTTAAAATCAAATTTATTTTATTTAAGAAAAAAAAAAAAATACAAAAATGGCAGCCTATTTAGCTTTTGTTTGCCTTACTGACTGAATTTTTTTGACGAATGCATATGTTGTGTTGCTTTTTCTTACATTGAATATTTAATATTTTTAATTAATATTTGCTTGTTTAATTAATAATTTGGTTTAAAAATTTTTGTTAAAATTTAGTAATTATATTAAAATATTATTAGCATTAGTTACTTGGGGCACTCTTTCCAATACCGGTCCTAAATTATTTACTGTTAAAAAAATCCCATTCAAGGCCTCAAGAGGTTATATAGTTAAATCTATGGAATAGGAACACTACAAACTATGTTTTGCGTTATTATATAATTTCATGGGAACCAACCTCTCGATTCCTTGGTAGTACAGTTGTAAATATTCTGCCTGTCCCTCAGGTAACCGGTGTTTAAATGCCGCGGGAATGATTTTTATTTTTTTTTAGCCCTTAAACAGGCCGTTGGCACGTTTTGTTGTGGTTAACAGCTAGGCTGCGTTGTTCGCTCAGTCTTGTGGTTTTCAGCTAGGCTGCTATGGCAGCGGCGAGATGCTCAATGGTCATGTCATGGGTAGGTATGCGTCTTTCATCCCAACACATCCAATTTCAGTAAAGTCCTATTTACTACTCCACCCCACAATGCTCAAATAATGAATCAAAATCTATTCCTCCCCACGCCACTTTAATTGATCAAAAACTATTCCACCCCACGGCGCTTAGCTTACCATCTAAGCATTGCTAACTGTCGAGCAAAAACGGCAGAAGTGGAAATTTATGATGATGATGACCTAAATGTTTTTACTACATAACCTCTTGAAGCTCTCAAAGGGATGTTTTTCGCAGTGAATAATTTGGGACCGGTATTCGGAAGAGTGCTGTTATTTAGCATGTGGAAAGTTCGCCACTTTTATCGTTTTTTTATAAAAAATAAATATGTTTGTTTAATTTTATTAAATGTATTTTTTTTTTTTTTTTTTAAATTATAAACATACAGACAAATTTAGGCAGGAGTTTCTTGCGTTTAAAAAGAAAACTTAACAGATTTATAAGAAAAGCAAAAGCTATTTATTATTAAAAGACAAAACTAGAACTTAGAAGTTCTAGTAGAATTAAAGGATGATAATAGTATAGTGATAAGTGGATGCAAAGAGTAAAGTTGTGACCAATGTGTTGAATATGTAGACATATTTTGTACCTCAATGCAGCCACCAGCTGAGGGAGGCGGCAGTCTTAAATCCAAGTTCAAGGTGTCTCCTTCGTGCAAAAGAACTGCATGGCTGTTGGGTGAACAGTTGTTAATGAAGGCAGTCAGGTCGTTATAGGGGCGACACTTGCTGGTGGATGTAATGTCCTAAGCCCCTTTCCCAGCTAATAGTGAGGGTACTGCTGGGGTGACTGTTTATTAACCCTCACATCATGCTTCAGGTCAAAATGGATGCTAGGCACGGACACTTTTTTTTAGCCGTGGCAAATTTTTTTTGCTTTTGTCAGACGGTAGCTGTTGCATTTTTGCTCCATTTGTAGACGGAAGGATATAGTTTCGTTGCCCAGCTTCTGAGCTGAGTGCATGGCGTAACACCGTGAGCTGCAGATTTCATTTGAACTGTGATAAACACTTTATGTGTTTTTCTTTGGCACAGGAGCGGAGCAACTATGGGGTGACCCGTTTGCTATGAAGCTGAAACTAAGATGACCAGATTACCAGGCACCAGCTGAGCTTAGAGAGATCTTACAAATCCTCGGCCGTTTATCCCCTTAGCTTGGCTTGTGTCACTTGATAAGACTTACATCAGGAGCATATCATATATTTTCTGTCCAGGACATTGGGTGTGAGGTGGGGTCATTAGCAGGCTTATAGATTGGCTGCTGTCAATCCTCTGAGAAGTGAGCTTCTTTTGTGATAAAGTGGGTGTGGTAAATAGTGAGAGATTTCAACTGGGGGAGGGGAAGTAGAGGTTCTTTAAGATATTCAAAACTGAAAAGGAAACATAGATAAACCTTTAATCAGGTTGCAATTGGTACTGTTAGTATCTTGATTCTTTGTTGGCTAATCAGGAAGGAGACGGAGAATGTGCGGGAATGTTTCAAGTGCAGTGATGTCAGTTCTCAATTGATTCATTATGTCATTAATTTATCCCCATCATACACAACATTAGTCTGTACTAGCCTTATCCTAGGAAGAAGAGGTGCTTCCTGAAAAGTGGAGCAGGACACACTAGACTCTTAGTCTTGGCTGACACCTGGTCTAGAGGGAAGCTTCAATAAGTGGAAGACAGAGCACTGTACTTCTAATCTGGCAGCTTCTGAAGTATGCCTAATTCTGTCCAAAATTATTGGTGTTACTTTTTCTTTGGAGTAAACAAGACAGGTGGAAAGAAGGATCATGCTGCATGTGCAACACATGGGTCTGCCACTCTCCAGGCTTTCTGCTGTGGAGAGGAGGAACTTAATTCCTGGCCTAAATTGCCCATCGTTGTGGGCCATGATTTCCATGCCCAGCTGTAGCCCAGTGTAACGCTATCATATGGCAAGGCACCAATAGCACTACAGGTAAATGACCTTCATAAGCCTGGACCGAAGTGCTAGAGCAGCGGTTCTCAACCTGTGGGCCTCGACCACTTTGGGGCTCGAACGACCATTTCACAGGGGTCGCCTAAGACCATCGGAAAACACATATTCACTGAAGTTGTGAAGTAGCAATGCAAATAATTTTATTGTTGGGGTCACCACAACACGAGGTACTGTATTAAATGTGGTGATATTTGGAAGTTTGAGAACCACTGTGCTGGGGGATATCACACCCGGTGCACATCAGTGATTCGGTGGCTACAAAGATGTCTAATATAATATAAGAGCACACTCTCAGATGATGAGTGAAAAGAAGCTCCTAACCTTAACAGAGTCTATTAATAATCTGTCTCAATGTAAACGCATGTTATAAAGAGGCAGTTTTCCTTTGGATGGTTGAGTAATAGCATATTCTTAGACATGTAAATATCTCTAGGCATTTATTCCTGCAAACTTGGGCAGATCCGGAAGGTTTTTTTCTTCAGTGTTAAAATATTGAATAGGCAAATTTATATCTCTTAGAGGTGTATCACAATGAAATAATCTGTTGCTTGTTATTGTATGCGCACACATTTAAATGAGGTAATCAGTAGTCATAAACAGTGACACATTAAATAGAATAAATTTCCTAAGATATATGTATCAGATAGCCCATGCCACGAACCCGTGACCTCTATCAGTGAGGCGCATGGAACAAATTTACGTCAGCTTGGATTTAACAAATTTTTTTATTTGAAAGACTCTAACCCCCCCCCCCCCACCCCCCCCCCCCCCCCCCCCCCCTTCCCTCCGTCCGGTTCTGTTTTTGGTTAATATATTCACATCCTGACCTATAAATGTTTGTGTATTTGTGGACACAGTGCATAATGTCTTTTAAATAGTTCACTATAGACATATTTGAAAAGTTATATTTATAGGGGATTGTCTCTAACTGGAAGTGTCAGTTTTGTGGCTTCTCAGGCAACAGGGTTAAAGACCCATCTTGGCTACCAGGTTTACCAAGCCAAAAATGGGTACCAGATAAAAAGGTCCTGGGAAGTAAAGTTGGCCAGCATGATGTTGACCCCATGACCTATTGAGCGCTGATTGATCTGTAAAATATGAGTTTACCATCGTATACCGAATGTGCTACTGGCATAGAGGGGTTGTGTACTTACTTTTACTATAAATATTGAATCTGGTCTCTTTTGTTTCTGCTGAACTCCCCATCTGCCTTTTGTCTTTTTTTGTGTGCTGTAGTAACTTGACACTCTAAACAACAGGTGTGGTCACTGCAAGAACTTAGCTCCAACTTGGGACGAACTGGCCAAAATGTACAACAAAGTGGAAGGTAGTCCAGTTATTATTGCAAAGGTATTTGAACCTTGTCTGTTTTCATTGTTTTCCTTCTCCTGCTCTGGCTTTCACCCATGCCTTATGTTTTTATAATCTTTTGGGGATAATAATATTATTTTAGTTATCATTGTTGAGGAGCAGCTGGTGTAATGGCTAGCACATTTGGCTCTCATGCGAGAGATCCGGGTTTCTATACTCAGTAAGCTGCGGAAGTATTTTTTTTTTTTTAGTTTGGGACATAAATTACCATTCTAACCTGAACAGTTTATGCTCACAGCATTAGTCATGTGGCCCTAAATCCTCATGTTCAAGACTTCCTTCCTCTCCTACACCAGCCTAAAGCATTTTTTTGTATCCTGCTTTACCTATCCTTCAACTCAACTATTTTCAGCATACCAGCAAGGCAGCAAGCTTATGTCTCACTTTGTTTGGTCCCTAGCCATTTATCTCTGACATCTTCTTCTTCAGCATTCCGAGCCCTTGAGATTTCTTTGCTGCTAATATCACCCACCTCCACTCATCTATCTGTTTGGCCTTCTCTTTCCAGTTGGTGACATCAAGTGTTTGCAGGTCTGGACATTTTCTCTCCATTGTCTTCTTGGTCTGCCTTGTGGTCTACGACCATTCCGCTACCTTGTGTATATAGTTTTTAACCTCTCTGTCGTTTGACATTCTCTCAATATGCCCCAACCATTTCAGTCTATTAGATCTCATGATGCCAGTGATCAGTGGTGATTTAAACAGATTATGAAATTTGTTGTTGCTTCTTACTCTCCATTTCCCACTGTTTGCATCTTTGATAAGGGGCCTTATCTGTGGTTACACTGTCATCATAGTTGATGACACTGAGACAGGGGAGTGAAAGACAAAAAACAAAACTTGTTAACTCTGTTATTCTTCTTCTTCTTTCGTTCGCATGAAATAAATTGTCTATATCTGCAAAGCTGTCTCTAGTATGAATTTCACTGTCTTTTGTAATTCACTAAGCGGCCCGTAAAGTTTGACTTCCACAAGTGTCTCTTTTGGCCAAAGGTTTTGCCTGAAAGCGTTGAATCTGGGACAGTCTTGAAGGATGTGATCTGTTGTTTCAGGTGCCAGTCCACAAGTACACATGGCTGATTGGCCAATCTTAAATTTGTTGTACATGTGGGAGCGAAGTCGATTGTGCCCTGTTCTAAGGCGAAGGATAATGACTTGCTCTGGTCTGTCCATAATATGGTAATCATCTTGTGCCAGTTTCGGTGGCATTCTGATTGATTTGATCATTCTCTTCTTCTGTTGATAAGAGACTGGTATGTTAGGTTGTTCTTCAGTTGCACCTTCCTTAGCTAGTTTATCAGCTTTTTCGTTTCCGGGAACTCCACAGTGGGAAGGTATCCACTGCATTACTAATTTACAGCGGTTGCCTAGTTCGGATAAAAGTGTCCGTATGCTTGGTAATTTTCCAGATTGGAGTGACTGAAGTACTGCTTTTGCATCTGTCAGGAATACCACTGGTTGTGAAAAATACCCTGTATTTAGTAGTTTCTCTGCCGCTATCTTGATGGCTTGAACTTCTGCATCATAGTTGTGACAGTGCTTTCCCGTTGGTAATTTGGCTGTCTCCCTGGTATTATTAGGATACTCAATGTACACTCCCGCACCTCCGTTTCTGACTGCGCTTTCTGCTGACCCATCTGTGTAAACACGCACCCAAAGGTTCTGCGGGTATTCATCATCAAGTAGACTGAGGGTGGCTGTTTTGCGCTGCACACTGTTTTGTTCTTCCTTGTCAAATACCCCTTTCACTTCAGTCTTGATGTGTATTGGGAACTTATACTCCTCTCTCCAGGGGGTCCGTTCTGGGACAGCATTTAAGGATCTATCAGTTGCAGGTAAATCAGTGGTTTGTCTGCCGAGCCGTTTGGCCTGGTGGATAAAACTACTTCTCTTTAGTCGTCCCAAAGCTAAATTTTGGAATCTTTCATTCATAGGGTGACTGGGCATACTAAGAAACTTTTCTGCTTGTAAAAGCATCTTGGTGTCTCTGCGTTCACTCAGTGCTTGGGTCATCCCCATTTTCTCCATCACAGCTATAGGTGTTGATTTCATACTGCCTGTGGTGACTCTGAGTGCTTGATTTTGCACTTTGTCTAATTCTTGCAATGTGGTTTTTGATGCCGAACTCCATGCTGTTGATCCGTATTCAAGATGTGGTCGAACACTTTGTTGGTAAACTTTTCTAAGTATTTTCCCGCTAGCACCCCATGTGGTTCCACTTAGTTTTCTCAGAATGGCTACCCTCCTTCTGGCTTTGGTTGCTGCCTTGTTGATGTGTTTTCTCCATGTTAATCTATCATCAAACGTTACGCCGAGGTATGTGGACTCCTTATCCTCTCTCAGGGGTACTCCATTTATGTGCATGACACCTGATTTTTGTTTAGGAGAAAGGGTAAAGAGGGTGGTGCTGCATTTGCCTATGTTGATGCTGACACACCATTTGTTGGCCCAATCAGCCATTGCATCTATGGCTCTTTGTAGCAGCCTGGTGGCCACTGTCGCATTTTCATTTGTACACCAGAGTACCAAGTCATCAGCATACATTGAAGCTTTAATTCCGTGGGGTAGTTCAGAAAGCAGGTCGTTGATATAGACTAGGAAGAGTGTGGGGGACAGAACACCTCCTTGTGGGACGCCATGGCGCAGCAAAACTTTCTTACTCTTAAGTCCATCTATCTGTACTCGGGATCTTCTGTTATACAAGTATGCTTTCACCCATTTGTACATTCTCCCATTCACCCTGCAGTCTCTCAGTTTCTTCAGTAGACCTTCTTTCCAGACCTTGTCAAAGGCTTTCTTCAGATCTATCCATGCCGTTAGCACTAGCTTCTTTTCCTGGAAGGCATCCTCAATTTCTTGTGAAAGGTAAGTTGTCTGGTCTTCTGAGGAGTAGCACTGTCTAAATCCTGCCTGCTGCGGCGTGAAAATGTTTTCACTTTCACTCTGTTATCATTTACTGAATCTCTACACCTGTTTTAGTGTTGTCCTATTTGCTGTCACTGTCTGCTTGATATAGAATAAGTGGTAATGCACTAGAACACAGTTGCATCTGGGTTCATCTTCTCATGGCCCGTCGAATTGTCCTGGCTTTAAACAGATCAAAACAGTCAATGCCAAATGTATGTACACACAACTTTGCAAGGTATGTTAAAGAAAAAAAATCAAGCCTGCGACTGTGGGGAAAAATATACAATGACTAGCCTGGAGTTTTGAAACTGTAATTTTCTTAAAAGAAATCCCCTTGAATCTGCAAAATCTGTTTCCAGCAGGCCTGACATTGTTGAAAGGAAGCAGTTGAGTAAGGTCTCAGTGGGAATGGAGTACAGCTTGGCTGTGACATTGTGTGTATTTTTATGATTCTTCATCTTTATGTTCACTGGCTGTAAGGTAATTCAGAAAGTCCTGGTTGTTCATCCACTTGTGCACTTTGGTCTTGTTGTAGTACCCACATTTACAGATTTGGTTTCATGTTGTGCACAGCTGGTTTCTTGCCTCTCAGACAGATGGAGTCCACAATGAAGGCAACAAACAATGATCCTATCTATGTAACCCAGGCATGTGGTTGGGAGACAGGTGTAGATAGGTGTTGACCAGTGTGGCCCCTGGTCCTGTATGTCACTACATGTGGTTAAGCAGATCAGCATCCCTTCCCATCACTATAAAAAAGACTAATTTGGTGGAATGTTTAGTTTGTGGGGGAAAACCCCACAGGGAACCATGTCTTGAGAGTGTAGAGCAGAGATATTCATCTAAGTTTACTCAGAGGCCAGCATTCTCAAAATGGAGATCCTCACGGACCAAAGACCCTAGCCCCCCAACATAGAAAGATCATTAATGCAATACAACTGGCAGTGATCCATGGGCCGCTTGCTAGGCCTGCACAGGGCAGGTTTGGCCCATGGGCCGCCTGTTGAATAGCCCTGGTGTAGAGCCTGATGCACCAGAGGAATAGTTTTGGACAAACAAATCTGGATCAGATAGAAAGATGGTGGCATGTGCCTGTGGGCAGCAGGAGGTCACAGCCCCAACATGACAATTGGATGTTGTTGCCAGTTGGTTGATGGTCTGTGTTCCATCTGGGAAATAAAAGGCAGTAGAAGAAACAGAACTAACAGACAAACTTTATTTTCAAAGGGTTAACAATTGGCCATGCAAGCACATCTTTAAATCTTTCCTAACCTCATTTAGGTCATAGATTATTTCATTCATACAGCTTTTAATAGGTGGTAATATAATAAACATCATTGGTACAAATTAATATTAATTTTAAATGCTGGAATGTGATGGAATTATACATACTTTTCTAAACAATAGTTCTTAGCATACAAATTATAATAAATCTAGGAAAAATGTACCGTATGCTTGACCCTTTCACCAGCAAATACTAAAACAGTGGGTGTTGAACCCATGGGAATTCTCGGAACAAAAATCCTTAAAAAAACCCATATTACACCTGTCACTAATAATTTTAAAAATAAAATGTATCTAAAATATTGTTTTCAAAATATAAATAAAGATATATAAAGGGGGTAATGAATAAACACAGATAGAGTGAAGCATTAAATGGAATACATCTGGTGACTCGTGCTTTAACCCCATGACCTCTATCATTGAGGCTTACTGGGAAAATTTGACTTCAACCTGGCTTTGAAAAATCTGTTGGACTGATGAGGACAACCCACCTCCTCCCAAATCCAAATGCTATTTTCAGTTACTGTATTCATATCCTGGCCTATTAAACAAAGTGAAAGCACGTTTAGAATCAGTGGAGTGTAACTACACTTTTCCAGGATGGATCACTGCAGATTTAGCAATAATATGTCAGCATTTATTGGTCTATGCCACAACTGGATGTGACTAGATTTAGTCTTCTTGGGGGCAACAAGGTTAACATACTATTATCTGTTAAGGGGGCTTGCAGAAAGAGAAGGAGCAGGGTGATGATGGCAGTTGAGTTCACAGAGCAGCAAAATATTTTTTAAAGTATATGCCACATTTATTCAGTCCCTAATAGTGTAAACACAGCTTGGTGGTAAGTGTACTTAGGTTATGGCATATTGATATGTAAATCTTGTTGTGATAGAATTCACTCTACATTCCCTAGGTAGACTGCACAGTCCACACAGGTTTGTGTGCCGATCATGATATTGTTGGGTTTCCCACTCTGAAGCTGTTTGAGGTCGGAGGGCAGAGCCACAAACGCTACGCCGGCAAACGGGATCTGGATTCTCTGAAGGCTTTCATACAGGACCATGTGCACGGGGTGAGGCTGTTAGGTGTTAACATTAAAAGTTAAAATCAAGAGCATTGACTTTGTTACACCGGGTTTATCGCATATAACTTGGTCTCTCTCTGATAAACATCTAGCCACCTGCCCAGAACATTGCACAAGGCACAGACTCTAGCTCCCTTGATGATCTTCAGAAATCTTTGTTTAAAAAAAAAAGGCACTATATATCTTCAGCATAGATCTTCTGGGGCTGAGTCGTGAAGCATCTGATGGGCACTAATTGTAGGGGTGTGACGTGACGGGTGGTTTAAATGTTTATAATGTTGAGTAGGAATGTTCCTCTCAACACATTCCCTCCACCAGATTAACGGAACTATAATCTGAGCTATGTTGCTCTCAGACACAGTCCTGGATACCCAAGAAAACAACCATATTGGCTCGTTAAGTACTTTAACATTAGCTGCACTTGGTACCCACAAGAGAAGGCAAGGAATTTTAGATGTCTATCATACTTAGTGAATAATTAGACAGGGCAAGTGATTCCTCCGTCATCTACCTTCTCCCGGTTTTATTATGAATAATTAAAGAATTATTATATTATTTGAGCCCCCACCAAATGGTATTCTATCCTAACAGTTTAATTAAACATGTAAGAACAGACATTTGGAATTTAACAAACTATGTAGTTTAAAACTTGACATACAGCTTTATTTACTACAATGAAATTCCCAGTTTGTTGATTTACACAAACAGTGACTGGTTAATTTGATGATAGTGGTAAGCTTCAGCGAGAAAAACAGCTCGGGGTTTAGAGTGGTATGATAATGATGATAATAGGTTAACATAAAGGGGTTAACTCAACTTATAAGCCTCTAACAGCCGTGAGGAACTGTCAAGCTTGTCCAACTCTTCCTTGCCTGTTGTCTGCCTGTTTCAGCTTATTCTCCACTTCATCCCCACCTCGTTCTCCACATCGTTCTCCACATCGTTCTCCACCTCGTTCTCCACCTCGTTCTCCACCTCGTTCCCAGCTGGCCGAGTCTAACACAATGTAGTCTACTTCATGGACTGATCGTCACATGGGCGCTGTAATCATGGAAACAAAACACATACGTGTAGTATCTTGACTTACACTAAGAATACATGTATCAATTAATACAACATATAATAATAAGATATAGCCCATCACTCCTCCTCATATTCCACATCCTCTCCAGTCTAGTCTGAAGGTCTTTTGTCTTACATGGGCGTCACATATCCTGCCTTCCCTCCAATGCTATGTCATGATAGTTGACTTTCTAAGTCTGTTGTCCGTCATCACTCAGACTTCCAACTGGCTGACATTGATATTACATGACCACGTGGAGCAGGTTATGTGCTGAAAACTCAAACAATTTATATGTGCACTCTGTCCTGAATATTATCTTTCAGTGACAGTAAATACTGTACACCCATCATTCTCCCCCTGGGGTTATAAATCCCCTGTTCAGGTGAACACATTAAGTGAGCACCTGGTGGGCACACAAAACGTAGCAGCATCCCTGCACATATGGGCTGGATTTCCCCACAGTCCAAACTCATGTTTTGGCTGATCATGGAAACAATATAATTACATTTCATTATAGCAAATGTCATTGTTCACATCTTATTTTATACACATGAAAACATACAATGAAAAACATGTGACACAAACATACAAGAAATAGGAATAGTTTAGCAGGTCCCTAACTTGAGATACTGAATACTCACACAGAACTATTTCAAGCAGAATGTGCAGACAAATTAGGAAAAGGTAGTATAGACTAAAAGCTTAACTCCCTAACCTATGTATACAAGATTAAAATTAATATTCACCTGGGAACTTTTCCATCAATCGCCAAATCAGAATGCGACCGTAAAATTACCTTCACGTCGATCTGTTTGTTTGCCGGCAGGCTGCGATTAATGACAGGAATTCCACAGGCTCGCAGTATAAGTATCAATCTATTGTCCAAATTAAACTCCTCCCTTTCCTTAGTTTTTACCCAACCCTCAAGATGATGGCTTAAGCTCCTCCTCCGAAGTACCTATCAAATCACATTAGCTAACAAGTGGCCTGTCAGTCAATTCTGGACTGACATCCCTAGAGCAAACATTCTTAAGTGCCCCAATCTAGTTTACACCGAATCTAACTGGCCGGTGTGAAAGACGGTCAGTGAAGCCATTGTGTTTCCTACTTGACCCAGATCAAACAGTCCTAATTGCCACACACCTGTTCTCCCCCGAATTACACTGACGTGTGAAACTCTGACCTCTGGGCTCCACAATGTCTAGCGTCCACTCAATTTACCTGGTCAAAAGGGCCCCGCTCAGTCTCTACAGTCTGGTCAGGAGATAACATTCTGACACTGGCATGAGAATAGAATTCCTAGCTACAGTGTAAAGTTTTAGGTAATATTACCAAAGACTTAGTCGCTTTGTCTGGACTAAGGACTGGAAACGTTTAAATCAATACGGTTTAAAGTAACATTTGGTTTAAGGGCATAGTCTCTTGTCTCTCAATAACCAGAAGAACTTATTACAAGTACTAACTTCTGGAATCACTGAGATCGTATCGTGACAGGCCCTCCGTTAAGTTGGTCGCAGCCACTAAGACCAATTCTACGACACTCAGTGATTCCCAAGAAGGTTAGTACCCCTGTCATCTCCAGTATTGTTCCAGTATTCCTTGTGGAATCGTGATGTCCTGCATCGATGTACAGTCACCAATTGTCCCTCATTCCAGGCTAAGTCCTTAGTCCTAGAATCATGCGGGTATTCCGAGCAGCTGCTCAGTAATATCAATTTATCTGGAGGTTTCTTCTCCCGCAGGATAAGAAATGATCTCCGTTTCAACAATGAGATTCCTCGACATCGTTGACTGACAGTCCCTGTCCATTTCCTAACTTCGCCACGCCCTATTAGCATAGGGAGGGCCTGAAGTGCTCTCCGAAAAGGATGAGTTGTAGTCAGGTAGGATTTTCTTTTCCTACATCTACAGATCCTGAAAAAATCTGTCACTAATCTCCTCTCAAATTGAGGGATATAGTCACTCATCATGGCAGCATGCCGTGAGTGCAACTGACCACTGCCGATTTCTTTAAGGAGTGTCCACTGGTTTCCTCCTCGGTGCATCCTATCTGTTTTACAAATTGTCAGGGTGGAATTCTCTTTCATTAAGATTAGTCCAGAATCAGAGCACGAAATCAAGTCAGGGGGTACAGTCAAATCATTAGGAAACTCAGGGTTTCCTGCAGACAGTAAAGTGGCATTTCTTCGCCATGAAGTTTCCACTATCAGCTGAGATACCCCTGTCACTTCCTTCGAAGCGAAGAGTAATACAAGACCAGAATGTTGGGGTTCCCTACTATTTATGGCTTGTTCCGCTTCAGGGTCCTTCATCAGAAGTATCCCTGTCGCCCCAGCTGTACAGGATAGAGACAATTTGTCTCCCTGCACACAAGAAGTACCTTCTTCTTCATCAATGGCAAACATTTCTGTCTGTCCAGTATCAGAGTGCACAGGACTTGCAGCAATGTCCTGTTTACTCATTGTCTCTAAGGTCGTCAAGAACTTAAAAGAACTATCCTCCTTATCTGTTATCTCCGCCCTGGTCTGGCTTTCACATACCAAGTCTAGTGGAGGCAAATAAGGGGATTTGTCGCGGCCATAACAGTCAACTACTTTGGGCGAAAAGTCAGAACTAACTATTTCTATGTTGTATGCAATCGCATCAAGGGAAATAGGGGAAACAGGTTTAGTGTTATTCCCTACATTAGTCTGCTTTACTTCTTCTTCTTGTTTGGAAGGACCAAAGGGTTTATGGGAGTTGGGTAAGTCTTTACCCTCGTCCTCATTAATGGCTGATGTGCCAGTCGAACCAGTATGTCGCCGGTCAGAACAGTTATCACGCTTGTGATTACTGCGGGGTGTGCTCTCATATATCTCATCTGAGATAATGGGAGTAAGGGGTTCCAGCAATGTAGATCCGGTCCCTTTAGAAGATTTCTGTTTCTTACTCCATCTTTTCTTTTAGGCTTAAGAATGGAAGTAAAGGGGGCCAGCAATGTAGATCCGGTCATCCCTACAGAAGAGTTCTTCTTAATGTCAGCTCTGTCCCTATTAGGAATAAGAGGGGTGAGGCAAGGTCTTGGGTGGTCTATTACTTCATCCCCTGATGAAGTACAGTTTGGCAAAATAGAACACACCTCTCCATTGAGAGAGTGAGTCCCAGACCTTTCTACCAGAGTGTCAGTATGGGAGTTGTCAGTTCCCTCAACTACCCTAATAGTGTTCTCACCGTTCCCTGTGTCTAACTGCAGTTCTCTATTCGTCTGCCTAAGTGGTTTATAGTTACGCAGCTTTTCTTGAAAACGCCTCGTTCTTTCAACAGCTGCCTCCTCTTCGAGTCGCAACTGTCTAGCATATTCTTCTTCTTCAAGTTGCCGCATTCTCTCTTCTTCTAGCCTCTCTGCTGCATGACGGGCAAGCATCGAGTCATATTCTTCTTTCTCCAACTTTCGCTTCTTCTCTGCAGCATTACGGGCACTCATGTAATCGAAAGTATCCATATGGAATTTAACATATGATTCTAACTTCGCTCCCACTCTACCCTCAGCTATCCCGATCTTCCTTACATCTTTTAGGAACTCGGTGCGTAAGTCCATTATATCTTATTAGATCTATCTAAAGATAAATATAATACTACCCCGATTCCGGAATAAAAGAATATGTCAGAGCAGGGTAAACTGGGCAAGAGAGTAGCCTATGACAGCCGCACAAAGATGTAAATAAATCAGAGTGGCCTACCAGACTGACAGCTTTTAGAATAGTATAGCAGCACAAAGATTACACCGGTAAATGATATGATGTGATTTAACATTCAGTCACTAAGCATAAGTATCCATGATATGATGTCAACATATAATGCTCTACAATCTATATCAAATGATGGAACATGCAAGCAAATATAATAATCATCAACATTAAAATTTACTAAATAAACAATAATCAATGGTTATGAAGTGATCAATGATAAGACATGATACTATCCATTTATTTATTTTAGTAAAAAGTTATTTATTACTTTGTAATCTCTCCCCATGTAGCCATTGTGTTTCCTACTTGACCCAGATCAAACAGTCCTAATTGCCACACACCTGTTCTCCCCCGAATTACACTGACGTGTGAAACTCTGACCTCTGGGCTCCACAATGTCTAGCGTCCACTCAATTTACCTGGTCAAAAGGGCCCCGCTCAGTCTCTACAGTCTGGTCAGGAGATAACATTCTGACACTGGCATGAGAATAGAATTCCTAGCTACAGTGTAAAGTTTTAGGTAATATTACCAAAGACTTAGTCGCTTTGTCTGGACTAAGGACTGGAAACGTTTAAATCAATACGGTTTAAAGTAACATTTGGTTTAAGGGCATAGTCTCTTGTCACTCAATAACCAGAAGAACTTATTACAAGTACTAACTTCTGGAATCACTGAGATCGTATCGTGACAAGGGGTACTGTAGATGGACAGAGGAAACACATGTGTACACACCATTTCACCTCGCCCATTGAGGAGCATTCTTGCCTAGTATAGTATTTTACACACAGGTGTGTGCGTGTAGACAGGCACATGGAAGTATGTATTGTTTATTATTCCTGGTACAAATTTGTACTGCCATGATATTGTTTAAAAAAAAATTTTTTTTTTTACATTTAAGGTTTTTTTTTTTTGTTGTAATGTAAGTCAAGACCTTTGAACTTGATTGTTACATGAAAATTGATAGAAAACTATGGATCAGTGAGAAAATCTATTATAATATTCTACAAGCTCTAGGTGTTGAAGTAGAAAAATGCTTCATTAATAGCATCATCTTCTGAAAATTGAAACACTTTGGCAATATTAAAAGCTGTAGTGGCATAGAAAAGAAAGCTTTGTTCTTGGCCGAGGAGGCATGTGTTGTTCAACATGAAAGTGGACACAAAATATCAATTTATGATATAACAGAGTGGGGGAGGGGAGCTCTCTGGGATCAGGTAAATGGTGCATGCAGCAGAACAAACACAGCATCCATATCTGGAAATAATGAGTCAGCTCTAGGAGTGAGAAGAGGGTTTGGACAGTTCTCTGCTCACAGGGAAACAAACTGGCAAACTTTTAATCAGGTTCCTTAGACACAATTGGTTTGAGAATTCTTTGTTGGCCACTGAGAAAGGGGCGGAGCAGGTTTTGGAGTGTCCCCAGCGTTGTGATGTCAATTCTTGATTTATTCATTCACAAAACATTGATGATACCTTGACATGAAATCGTACAGGATTGGAGAATTACCAAGACACTGATAGAAACTTTTTCTACACAACATCAACACCGTAGTCTTCTCTGGCATTATCCTTAATAGAGGATTTGACATGCTGTGTTGTGGTTTACAGCTTTGCCATGATATTTGCTCTTTTGGCCCAACTCATCAAGTTTTAATGAACCCCTAATTGCTTGCCTTTTACTGCGTGATTGTTAGCTTCATTTCCCAAGCAACTGACCATGCGGTTCATACTTATATGTCCCAGCTAGTTGTTACACCCACATATTCTGTACCTGTGGTTACTTTAACCCTTTCTGTTACATATGGTTTATGTTTTAATTTGCTTCAGGTAGAAATATTTATTAAAGTACAAATTTCTTATGACAAAATGAATTAAAATAACTTGTACTTGGGAATGAAAGAGTTAAAAGGCAATGCCTTTGTTTCCCCCCCCCCCCCCAAAACCATGTGGAGAAACATAGAGTTGATGATTTGTAATGATCCTTCACAGGGATCAGACAATATTGAAGCAGATGCCAAACAGCCAGAAGTGCCAGAACCAAAATCTAGCCTTGTCGTCTTGGATGATGAAAGTTTCAAAGGTCATGTTTCAAAGGGATCTTTCTTCATCAAATTTTACGCTCCTTGGTGTGGCCACTGCCAGAAGCTTGCCCCGGTTTGGGACGACCTTGCCGACACTTTTAATCACAATAATAAAGTCAGCATAGCCAAGGTAGGTAAATCAGAGGTTAATATCATCTAAGGGGAATAATCCTAGAAAAGTACTAAGATGCAAGGGGGCTTCAATTAAAAACCTTGAAAAAAGTGTGATAGAAATTACAATAACTATGTTATTGTTTTGTAGCTTGTTATATTGTTGGTAAGGATGTCAAGAGTATTGAGCACATGGTTTCACAGGGCAGACAAACTCGGGGATGCCATAATGACACTTTAAAGATGGCCACCCCACTTTTGACATGTACCAAAGAGGAGCAGCGTTCTGTCTTCTGTTTTTTCCTCTTAACCTCCTCAACAGCAATATTGACATGTTACAAAACAGTGGTATGGCTATTGTTATTTCTATCACACTTTTTAGGTTTTATTTTTTTTTCTTTAGGCTAAGATTTTTACATGCAGATGTATTTATGTGGGAGCTGCAGTAGCACAGTGGCAAGGCATCTTGACAGGTAGCTTAATGGCTTGGGTTCAGATTCTCATACTTTTTAATGATTGATCTAGGCTGCCCGGTTGACCCAGCCTAAGAAGAAAGTGTTGGGAAATAGATGTAGCGTGCTTGATGCTGACCGAATCACTACCCGCCCACATCGGACTGCAGGCTATTTTGCTACCATCGGCTGCCACATTATAATTGTGTTGTCAACTGAAGAACAACCTGACGTACCAGTCTTTTATCAACAGAAAAAGATAATAATCAGATCCGTCAGAAAGCCATCGGTGCAGCAGAGTTCGTGCACTGCGCTGAGATTCTTCAGACTCAGGCTTGAGTTAGAAGAACACACCACTCAAGGGTTACACCCGTGTGCCATGATGTTGATCTGTTAAATAAACATATACATAAACGTAAACTCGAAAGTTACTTTTCTACAATCCACATGGGAAAAAGTAACAATAGGAAGGCACACATACATAGAGAAGAGATTTATATGAAAGACAGAATTGCCAGATATGAGGGTTTCACATGAGATAATTTAGGCTTTTGCTTCACTGGAGAATCAACGCAGAAGGACAAAAGAGGAAAAAGAAAGTAAGTTAGTGTATGGGCATCTTCTTCTTCTCTGGTCCTGTTTTGCCTTTCAGCATCTGGTTTTGAAGAGGCATCATGTGCAAGCAGTGGTACTTGCTACGTAGATGCTGGTATTTTTGGTCTTAGATATCCCATCTATCCATCGCTTGTGTGGTCAACCTCTAGTTCTGTTTCAATTAGGTCTAAGTGGCAGGGCTCTCTGTGGTGCTCTCTTTGACACATGTCCAAACCATTTGATCTGTTATCTCTTGATGTAGTTTAGTACTGGCTCCATCCCATTATCTTTCCTGATATTTTCATTTCTGATCCTGTCTCATCTAGGATTATCATAGGCACTTCCTTTTTTTTTTTTTTTCTTCTTTCTTCTTTCATTGTTAATGCCTATGTTTTGCACGGATAACACAGTCTTGGTTATTAACAATAGCTGTTTTGAATAGTGCCCTTTTGATGTCAGTTGTTACATGTTTGTTCTGGAAAGTTTATGAGGTCTGTCCAATGATTATAAGTATCACTGGTATAAATTGAGTCTCATGACAGCTAACCCATTGAACAAAAACCCAGTGAAGTCAGATGCAAATATCGCAGCTATGCTTAAACAGGCATAATGCATTATATCACTTTGGTGAACAAAGATGAAAAAGTCGAGCAACATGATTATGTTTGTTTATTCACAGATAGACTGCACCCAGTCCTCAGTTATTTGCAAGCAGTATGGGATTGATGGATACCCTACTCTTCTGTGGTTCAAAGATGGAGAAAAGGTAACATCATATTATTTAGTAGCCTTGTAAGTCAGTCTAAGAGATAGTTAAAGTGAGCGAGTTAAAATGAGAGACATCATTTGTCATTCCTCATGGCTTAAATGGGACTAGTAACGGAGTGAGAAAAGGGATGGAAGACAAAAGAAGAAGTTGTGATAAGAATACCAGAATAGAAGTAGATTAAAAATTTCAAGGAAATTAGAATTATTGAAAATAGAAACAAAACATAAATTGAAGAATAGCATAAAAGAGTGATTTAAACCAAAAAAAAACTCAAAAAAAACTGGAAGTATAGATATGGATAAAAGAAATGTAAAGGGAGGTGTGAGGGAAGAAGATAGAAGAGAAAAGGATGTATGGATACAAAAATAGGGAAAGTGGAAAGAGTAGAAAACGTTCTCCCTTTCACTCTGTAAATGCTTTAAAAAAATACAAATAACAAAACAAAACAAATCACACTGAACTTATTTGAATTTCAACAACAAACAATCCTTAAGTAAACAACTGATTCACTAAGGTCAGTAATTAATGAAAAGAATTATTGACCTAATTTTTATTTGAAATATAAAAGGGTTATCAACAAATATGATCTTTTCTTGTGGGTTCCGGTGCCCCTTTTGGGGGAGGGATGGGGGGGGGGGGGAGACCCTCTTGTCCCTTTCCCTCAACAGGGGTGTCATAGAAGGTGACTTTGGTCTGGATCTAGAACTTGAGTTCTGCGTGAACATCTGTGGTTCAGATCTGGCTTATTTGTGTGCAGACTGCTGGCTCCTTACCTTCTAGGAAACACCCCTGATTAGTTTCCACATGTGACATGCTTGTTGGGGGGGGGGGGCAGTGAGTCTATTCTTTGTTCTCCAAAGTGGCACACTGGAAGCCATTTGGGGAATAGAACATCCACCCCACTATCCAGAGGGATGTTAAATGCAGTATGTTTACTTTTGCAGATTGAACAGTACCAGGGTGCCCGCACACATGAAGCACTGAAGCAGTATGTTTCTGACAGGCTGCAGGATGGGGCCAGGGAGCCACATGTTGAACAAGAGGAGCCAGCACTGGAGCCGGGCCAAGCTGAGCATTCTGTAGTATGTTAGCACTGTTTGTTGCCTGCTGTTTTTGGTTGGAAATTATTGGTTGTCTGCACATATGGGGATTGTGGCTTTTTCCTGATCCACATTCTTTCTGTACCAACTAGCTTACCTAACGTGTAATTAAATATATAAACACTGATGAGACCGATTGACCAATCTGGTTTTGAAACCTTGAGTACAACTGACAAAAGACAAGGCCTTTTTTCTTCAACTTTTTAAAAAACAGAATCCTACAGCAAATCTTTAAGAAACCTGACAAGTGCAAGTTAGAAGAACCTGGACCTCTGTGTTGAGAACACTATAAAGTCTGCTGAGAATTTCTCTTATTTTATCCACGTCTTGTCTTTAGTCTTGTTCCAGAACTTGAGTTTTGTGTGCATTCCAGTTTTACAGATTTAGCTTATTTGTAAGCAGTCTGTTTGTTCCTTGACTCTCAGGCAAATGCACTCTGACTTTGAAGGAAATATCGCTAATTAGTTGACTTCTACCATCTGCTTCTACTTTCACCATGTCATCAATCTGTACTCTCACCACATCCTCCATCTGTATTTTTACCGTATCATTCATCAGTACTTTCACCATATCATCCAACTATACTTTCACAATATCATCCATCTATACTTTCACCATGTCATCCATCTGTACTCTCACCACATCCTCCATCCATATTTTCACTGTATCTTTCATCTATACTTTCACCATATCATCGAACTATACTTTCACAATATTATCCATCTATACTTTCACCAAATCATCCATCTGTACTTTCACCACATCCTCCATCTATATTTTCACTGTATCTTTCATCTATACTTTTACCAAATCATCGAACTATACTTTCACAATATCATCCATCTATACTTTCACCATATCATCCATCTATATTTTTACTATGTTGATTTATTTCTGTAACATTCCTCTAACTCTCACGGTATCATCCAATGGACACTTGTATTTATCCCCAGGGGGCTGTGAAGGATTTAACTGATGAAACTTTCAAGTCTGCCATTTCCTCAGGTCTTCATTTTGTCAAGTTCTTCGCTCCTTGGTGAGTGTGTATGTAGGTTTCAACTTTGAAGTGTGCATGTGTCTCTTAAACTGGCTGTAAATTATACCAAATTATATTTCTTCTTTTCTGAGTTTACAGTGCAAGAAGGTGGTGTAGTGGCTTAGGACTTCTAACTTTAAAAAAAGCTGAGTTCAAATTTATCTGTGGACAAAATTTACCTCTTAAAAATAACCTGTGCTTATAATGTACAGCCGACCAATCAAGGCTGCTCTTTAAATAATAATATATGCTTTGTCGTCTGTGGCTAAGGCATTGTCAACACGCTTCATAATTCCAAAATACCCAGTTTTAATTCCAGCTGCAGGCAGTTGGGTAGAAGACTGCTTTGTGTTGACCGTTCAGGAAGTTGTGGCAGACGGAATATAAAATTTGCTAGTAAAATCATAGTTGGCCGTAAAATGCTGGAAATGGTACTGCAATGTCCTCTAAAATCAGTGTTTTTCAACAATGGGCCATTGGAAAGTCCAAAATGGTGGCCAGAAATGTCTGGCTTACCAAGTAACAAGTGAGGCAAAATGAACACAAAAAAAAAAAAAAAAAAGCTTTTCACTGAACTAAATAGTGTGATGAATGACTTGGTGAAGATCGTAAATTAAATTCGCAGTCAGATTTTGAAGTCCCGGCTGTTCACCACAACTGACCAGCATCTCCTCCTTCATGTAGAAGTGAGGTGGTTGTGGAGAGGACAGATGTTTGCACACCGTTTCAGACTAAGGGAGAGCAACAATCAAACCTGTTGCCTTTGTTGAATGAGGAATAGATGGCTAAGCTGGTGTATGTGGCTGACAAATAAGCCTCCTTAATCAACTTAACATTTCTCTTCAGGGACTTGGACAAATATTTTTACTGTAAGAAATAAGTGAAGTCGGTTTTCTGGTGTAGTCCCAACAAGAGTCAGATGGAGAAATTGTACCACTTTTGGAGAAATTTTTAAATTTCTGCTGATTTCAATTGGAAAGTTATATTCAACACAGTTAAGTCAGCATTTTAAAGATTTTCATAGAGAAAACTTTGGAGGATGTAAGCCCACGCGCACTTGATCATCATGAAATTAAAAAACTGATCGAGTTGTTTTCGGATGTCAATCTTGTGTCCAAGCCCTAAAATGCAATAATTGTCTGAGTTTTTAATATCAGTTGAAAAAAAAATATCTGTCACATAGATATCAGATTATTTGTCATTTTTTTACTACCTGTTTGTGTGAAAAGATTTCCTCAGCTATGTCATTAATAAAAACCAAAAAATTAAAGATTTAAATTGATGTTTTTGCAGCCCTTTATCTGTAAGAAACAACTCTCTAGCCACGCATAAAAGATTGTTTAACCTCAAAGCAGCAGTAGATGTCATATTAGCTAACAGTTGGAATTTATTTGACATTAGATTTAACAACTAAGCCGCTTTCTATAGTCATTTTTTGTTACCCATTTGGCTAGCTGTCAGGTGGACTGTCAGGTGGGCTGTCAAGTGGGCTGTCAGGTTGACTGTCAGGGGGACTGTCAGGTGGGATGTCAGGTGGACTGTCAGGCTGCAAAACAATTTCCATTGTTGTGGTGGGCCGCAGCCGTAAACAGGTTGAGGAACTCTGCTCTAAGGCAGTGTTCTTGAACCATTGGTCTGTGGAAATGTCCGGGTGATTCACCAAAAATGTATACCTAAATATGTGGCGGCTATGTGTTTCTGGCACTGTATTGTTGTATCGCATGTGAGACTTCGTACATGACACACATATCAGATTTTCAAACCTCCCAGCAGCAGCAAGTAGTGCTTTCGCTGACAATTGTAAGTTTATGATATCAAATTTAACATAAACTGCTATCTTGATTTGTTTTTGGTTAGCTGTCAAGTGGTCTGCAAAACAGTTCTCCCTCTTTTTGTCAGTCTTGCGTTAGTCTGCGGTGGTAACAAGTCAAAGAATACTACTCTAAAGGATATGCTAGCGACTTGAAGAAAACTTTTTAGGCGCAGAATTACAGTCCAGTATGTTTTTTTTTTACCAAGAACCACCACAGAAATCTAACCCTAGTACTAGAGGATCATGAAACTGTTAAAGCATTCACTAACCTTTAAGCCAATGAGCTGCACAAATACAAATACAATAGATCGAGAAAAATGTTTTTTATATTTTATAACAACAGAATTGTTGGTAGTCCATGTTTGTAAACACATTGTGATCACATAACTTTTTCTTTCCAGGTGCGGTCACTGCAAGCGTTTAGCCCCTACCTGGGATGATCTCGCCAAAGATTTCCAGAGTCATCCTGTTTCTATAGACAGAGTTGATTGCACACTTCATAAGGCCACCTGTGATGATAACCAGGTCAGTCTTCTCATGTTCATAGGCTCATTCTTATCTGTAATCCACAGGTGTTCGACTACAGCTGATAAAGTATGTGGCGCAAGGCTTTTTTCTAGAGAAACAAAAAAAGGTGCTGGTACCACATAGTGTCTTTAAAAAAAGGTGTCGGTAATCAGTGTCTGGGCACCCGTGAGCTAGACCCTCACCTGCAGATTGGAAGGTCGTGGGTTTGGATCCCAGACTTTTTAAGAAATTACCTTGGTTCCCAGGTTGACCTAGCCTTGAGTGGTTACCAGGTATAGTCATTGGAAGTATAGTCATAACGGCCGGCCTTATGTTGACCACATCACCCACCAAGTGCTGATTGGTCTGTGAAATATAGTTCTAGCCCTATGTGCCCAATACGCCTGAAGGCGTCCTTTACTTACTCAGTGTCAATTACAGTAGCGCTGAAAAATAAAAAGCCCTACAAAAAGTGTAGCTGCGAGAAAAAAAGTGCTAGTCTCATGGAAGTGTGCTGTCGTAAGTCAAGTACCAAGAAGAAATCAAAGTGAGATGCAAAACTAGTTAGCTTCTTAATGAAACACAATAATGAATCTCAAAATAAATGTTGCGGCTATGAAGCCTTCATCAGTATACAAAACACATGGACATTGCTACACTATTTAAAAGAATACCGAAAATAACTTAGCTTTTCAGTGAAGCCTGTTACACATCCATCCACGTATGAATAGCAAAGGCTTATTGGGGGGCACCTTCAGTAGTTGCTGAGGAGACAGACAGTGAATAGGATGTGATCCAGAGAGATAGGTTGGGTTAGGCTAGTGGTGAAAGGTTATGATCAAGGGACGTAATGTAAAGGATATTTAGATGAAACTGTTAATCATTCAATTCAAAAGGAGAAAGAGAACCCAGTAAAGATCAAACTATTCTCCTGAGACTTTTGAACTTTTTCATTAGAAAAAGTGAGACCAAAGGGTGGAGACTTCTATGTAAAAAATGCCCCAACGTCACTGAGCATTATAATGGGAAGGCACTGGTTTGAGGGCACCATTCTGCAGATTGGAAAGATATTGCCTGAACCTGCCAGTTAAACATAGCAATGTTTGACTGATGCACTTCATACCAAATCTTTTGCAAATGATGGTGTAAATCACATTAAGGCTGGTGCAAGAGAATCACTCAAATATGTGAATTGTGGCACTGGGTTTTGAGCCAAATAGCTTTTTTAACGTAAAATTGCCATCAGATTTTCCCATAAGCCTCAGTGATAAGTGTCATGGGGGTCACGGCATGCCACCAGATACATCTGTTTGTTTAGGCCCCCTGGGAATGTATTCCTTTTAATGCTTTGCCCTGTTCTTGTTTTGTAATTACTCCCTTCATATATTTTTAAATGCTTCGAGGGCGTAAAATTCATAAAAACATGTTCAACGAATATATTAGTGACCTGTCTAAAGTTGTTGATTTTTAAGGATTTTGTCTGCAATTGGAGCTGGGTGATGAACCAATTTTTTAGGGTGTTTATGAGGTGAGATTCACAAGCAAGAGTAACGAATATACCATATGTTCTTTGGGATTGATATATCTAATGACATTTAAATGATCTGGCTTGACATAAAATTTACTTTTATGTATTCTTGCCTTGAATTGCTTCCAGGTCAGAGGTTATCCTACACTCAAGCTCTTCCGAAATGGTGAGTTTCTCAAAGACTACAGAGGGTCCAGGACTCTGGAAGAACTGCACGAGTTTGTCAAGAAAAATTATGATGACAGCCACGATGAGTTGTAAATGTGTGAAATAGGAAGAATGGTCGGTGCCGCTTGTTTGAGACTAGTGGGCTACTGTGTCCTCCATTTTGTGTGATTGCTTGTTATTATGACCTCCATTTTGTGTGATTGCTTGTTATTATGACCTCTGTTTTGTGTGATTGCTCGTTAGAACAGAAATATGTTCTCTTAGTGTAAAGCCAGATTGGATGAATATACAATAATTGCATGTAAATCAACATTTATGGAACTATAAACCTGCACATGTACACACAATTTATAAATGTTATTTTATCATATTCAGTTTTTTTCAGGGAAGGGGGGAGAGGGAAGATATATATGTTTACAAACATACTTCTGAACAAATTAAAACAATCAAAATCTAAATTTCTATACACCAGTCTATATTGGTTAGCATATGCTAAGCAAAAATACTGACTAAATACTAAATAGTTCACTGTTGTAAAAATAATTAAATAGTCAAAATCTGTATTTTTGAGGACCATGGGATATGGGATCAGCCCTTATTGGTTACTGTAATTGTCGAATGTTACGTATACTCAACCCTGCTGTATGGTGCTGATATGTGGACAGTGAAAGAGCAATTAGAAAAGAGTATTAAAACCCTGGGGAAGTGGACGTATGAAGAAAAGGTAGTATTTTCTTGTGGAGACAAAAATCAGATACTGAGGTTTCTGAGAAAGGAATGAAAAGAGTTGCTGACAGACATAAAAAAAAAAAAAAAAAACGGGACAAGTGATATAGTTTGGTCATATTCACTCTTTGAATCCCGTGGATGCAAGATTAGCCGTTTTTGCGTATCCCTTTTAAATCCTTGGGCCTGCGATGCTTAACCTCCTGGGGCCAGGCTCTAGCGTAGTTGGTTAAACCTGACATCGTGGTGACCGGGTGACGAACTCCTTGTGGTCCGGGTTCACTCTTGAGGGTAGGCAGAAAAGTCACATTTCTCCCAGATTGACGGTACCTATCATGGAATCAAGGCCGAAGGGTTGCGATATCCATAGTACCGAGCCAAAAGGTTAAGAACTCATGGTTTCTGGATATTTGAAAAAAAAAAAACTCGGACTGAAAGAGTTAAAAGACTTGATACTTGAAAAAAGCATTTTGGAGCAAAGAGTTGAAGGCAAGCGAGCAAGAGGCTGACAGCGATACAGGTGGAAGGATAACATCATGAGCTGGACGAACAGCAGCTTGAGAGAGTTTACATGCAGGGTGGCAAAAGACTGAGCATGTTGGAGATCATTGCAGCCAACCTTTAGTGCAGAGATGCCCCCTGGTTGATTAATTGATTGGTTACCATGGCAAGCAGAATTCTAATTAGATACTTTAAAAAGTGGATTACTGCAAGTTTAATTTAAAACAATCAAAATTTCTATTTCTGGCAACCCCAGGATATAATGAGCAGTCTGTATTGGCTACCAAGGCAAAACAAAAACACTAATTCAATACTAAATGGTTAATTTCTGTAAGAATAGTTTTCATTTGATTCTATTTGTTTTAGGTTAGTTCTTTACAGTGTTGTCTTCCAGAAAGTGTGTTCATTTCTTCAGCGTCCAGTTATTTTTCCAAGCCTCTGTTTTAATTTCTTGTTCCTGTTGTCATTAATGTCAGAGTGTTGCCATTATTGTATTTGTTATTGGATGGTTATTTTTTGTTGTTGTTCATGTCAATGAGAAAGGCAGTCAAGTGTTGAGGAAATTGATCAACCTTACCTAGGCTGAATTTGAGAAAGGCGAAGAAAACAAGAGAAATATCTAGAAAACTGCTGGTATCAAGATTCATAGAGCAAGTGGATGGTGATATTTTGAGATGACGCAGATGAAATCTCAAAACAAGCAGTGAAATGAGAAACAAATGGATTGAGGAAGTTGAGTTAAACAAGTGAAATATGGCAAAAGTTAATGGGAGGGATCCTTATGGGCAGGACTGGATTCCGTTTATAGTATTGAAAGGATTGCACTCGCTAGAATAGAATGAATGAATTGACTATAAACTGAATAAGCTGCATAAATGGTACGAGAGATTTATGATGTTAATGAGTAAAGCTGTGATATATGTGCCAGTTTGGAAGATGAGGACCTATTTTTACTGTCAGGTATCTGACCTTCAAAAAGAGACAAACTACATTCTGGGGTTATGTGGTGGGAAGCATGACAACTGGAGTACATCGTGACAGTAGAAAAGTTGGAGGGGAGGAGAGGCAGAGGGAGACTGAAAGAAAAGATGCTGGACAGTATGACCTCATGACATGGAAGATCTTCTGTGTCAGAGTTGACTGAAAGTACACGAGACAGAAGGTTGTGGATAGACATGACTACCCAAGCCACATGGCATGGACTTTTAGAAGAAAATCTGGCTTTACTTTGCCAACTCAAGGCTATGTGTGTTTGTAATTAATCATAAATGTGTTCACCTTTTGGACGGATTTTTTAAATTGAAAATCATGCAAATGAACAAATCACAAAGAGCTTGGGGGCAACAGGGATGTGGTTTATAAGACAGATGTGAATATTTTGGATGCTGGAACTAACAAGACATTTTTTCAAGGCATGGTTGTTCTGCTGTATGGCAGCAAATCTTGGAATGTCAGTGTACAGATTAGGAAGAATTTGGAAGCAGCAGAGATGTGGTTTCTGAGATGAATGTTACGAATACCTTGGAAGGCCAGAGTAACTAACAACAATTGCTTGAAAGAAGCTAATGAAAGTAGATCTCTGTTTACAATAATAAGAAAGAGACAAACACTGTTCTTTGGCCACATAATGAGAAGAGAGACATTAGAGAACATTGTGACAACTGGAAAGATCAGTGGAAAAAAGGGGTAGAGGCAGACCAGGAGAGATGATGCTAAATGGGCTGAAATAATGGCATGGAAGGATATCATCAAAAAAGCTGATCCAGGCAACCAGGGATCGTGATCTGTGGAGATGCATGAGCGCCTACGCCAGTTGGCAGGGCACATGATGATGATGATGATAGTTGTTATCTGGATTTGGTTGGCATAAAGAGAATAATTTCATGGTCTTTCACACTAAAGCCAATTATGTTTTAGTCTTTCATCTTAACACAGATAGCATCTTGGTCTTACATCGTAAATATATATCATGTTCTTAACTCTTTCAGCCCCAGGGAGCGCAACAGATTTTATGTTTCTTTTGGGTCTCTGATGCTAAACCCCCTGGAACTGAAAGAGTTAAATCATAAATTTAATCATTTCATAGCCTTTCATCATAAAGTAATTTTTATCGTGATCTTACATCAAAAAGTGATCATTTCATAGTCATACATCATAAAGTGAATCATCTTATGTATTTTAGGACCTGTATCCCAGTTCATTGCAGTTCTGTCTGGTTTGATTTCCCTAGTCTCTAACCATATCATCTACCTAACAGGTAGAGAAAGAACTCTGTGTCTCTTCAATACCATTGATCCTTCCCAATTTGGCTGACTTTCTCCTAGCTGTAAAGCTACTGACTTAGATGTTGAGAATTCCTTCTCTTCTGTTATTCGGTGGAAGGGAAGATGGAGAGACCTGGTTTGTTATGCATGCTGTGATGTGAAATCATTTAATTGTTTCTTGGTTTCTTTAAATATATTTTGTATTTCCTATATAGCACTTAAAAAAAAATATCAACCTAGCCTTCCTAGTTTAAAAATGTTTTTTATACATACATGTTAGATATGCTGTTTATTGTAAAATGTTGAACAGTAAAATGTTGAACAGTAAAATGGTGAGACCAGTGAAATGTTGAATAGTAAAATGTTGAACAGTAAAATGTTGAATAGTAAAATGTTGAACAGTAAAATTTTGAGACCAGTGAAAGAATTCATTACTGATATAATTCTTAGTTTCATCAGATCTTTTGTTCTTTCTATTTGCACCTAAAAAGTAAATCAAACCAGTCCAGCCTTCTTCCTAGTGTGTAAGTGTTAAGTTTTTTGTTGTTGTACAAACATGCTGGATATGCTGTCTTTTGTGAACTGTTCAAAAGTGAAATTGTAAGATCTGTAAAAGAATTGGTTACTCCCATTTTGTTTTGCGCCATGCTTAATTGATATTATTATATATGATCAGTATAAATAAATTATTGTATAAACTATTGTGTGTCTGTGGACTGTTTTCTGTATAGGGTTGTGAGTGGAAAAGGGGGAAGGGGGTCCAGTGGTAGTTTCGTCAAGCCATTTAACCCGTGTTTTGAGGGTCATGGGTTCATTTCTCAGACGTGTCGTTCAATTCATGAGTGCAAATTTTACGGAGATCCCTGAGAATCAGTGTAAGAGCTACATAGTTCTTGCGTAACTTTTACGTTGATATTAATTTTTTTTACTCAGTTTTTTTCAGGGATAACTGAAATATCTGTGAGGTATAATTTATTGTTCAAAGTTCATAGTTAATTAACTCCTCTGTCTGTGTAAAGGTGAGAGGATCCACTTCCTTGCACCGGGTTTTATCCTATATGGCTCAGTCTCTCTCCGCAGAACAGCCAGCGGCCTGCTAAAAGCGTCGCACAGAGCATGACCTCTGTAGCTCCTGTAATGATCCCCAAGGATCTCTGTAAAAATTGTGAACTGAATGACGCCGCCATGAAGCAAACCCATGACCTTCAAAGTGTGAGGCGAATGCTGGCATTATAACTAGTAAAATGTGGACTGACTCAAATGTATAACTACGGCTAAACAAAATCAAATTTTCAGTAGAAGTTAGTCCATCACAAACAGTTTGAAGATATAAGTCCCCAGAAACTGGGTGTCACTCCTTTAACTCATTCATTACCAAATGATTTCGCTGCAGATGCCTCTAAAAAAGCACAATAACCGCAATGTTTCTTGAAAGAAATAAAACAGATACTAGGAATTTTTAAACATTGATGGGTGGGTCATGGCCAGTTTATGGCCCAAACAAGATGTATATTTTGGTCATATCAACCGCTATGGCGGATTGGACAAAATAATAGCAGAAGGCATTGTACCAGGAAAGATGGGCAGTGGCCAGCCAGCACA